GTGGCAAGCTGAAGTGTGGGGACGTAGCAGTGGGTGTTGGTGCTCATCATGTCATCCCGAAGACCCACGTTCTGTTAGTCTGGTCATATATAAACTGAAGGCAGAGAGGGAGAGGAGGACAACAAACGAGGGGCTGTGACAAACTGTTTCGTCGGAGTTTCACCGACTCATCAGGAGGCTGAACCCTCAACAGTCTGCAGAATCCCTTGACTGATTACACTGTGAGTGATAATCCACCTTAACCCCGACTGTGGTTAAGCATCAACGACTGCCCAACAACTGGTGGGGACCACCAACCACTGCCCTCAAGGTACCTGTGACGAAAATCAAACCAGACTATCACTCATCCACACCAGATGTATATATATATACATCGTCACATGAATATGAGAGCGCAAAGGCGAAAAAAAACAGAAAACAAGAAAAAAATATTTTTTTTTGTTTTGTCTTACAACTCCTCCTGTTCAGAACCTCTTGCGTACAAGGCCGCCCAGTTTAAATATTATAACTATGATAGGTATAATTGATCCTGTTGATTTAATTTTGATGACTTACTCTCGTTTCTCTGCTTTTGCTTGTTCGTGACTGAATGTCAGGCTGCATGCAAGATCATGATGAAGAAGCGATCGGTGAGTGGAGGAATCATGCCCACCGATCAATTTGCCTCCTGCTGCATTCCGCAGTATCAAGTCTGTAAATTGATAAAGTCATCTCGGATCAATTGAGACTCGAGATCTCAGAAGGCGTTTTTTTTCCGGGGGGGGGGGGGTTCCTTTTTATTGCTTGTGTTTTTTCTTTCCCCTTTTGATGTATGGTTGTAAATTTTCTTTACTCTGTGTGTGTGTGTGTGTGTGTGTGTGTTGGTCTGTGTTTTTTATTCCCCTTTTGGAGTTATTGGCTGATGTGTGTTCTTTTTTCTTTCCTTTGTAAATTTTCTTTACTCTGTGTGTGTGTGTGTGTTGGTCTGTGTTTTTTATTCCCTTTTGGAGTTATTGGCTGATGTGTGTTCTCTTTTTTTCCTTTTTCACAGGATTTTCTTTTTTTTTTTTGCAGGGGGGGGAGGGGAGCATACAGGGGTGGTTGTTTTACGGTTGGGATTGGGAAGGTAAGCACATACAATTTCTGGACCTCAGTCAGGCACATTGCACCTGACTCGTGCACGCTGCACTCTCTCTCTCTATCATGCAGTTTTTGGCATTTACGTTTGACTGATATTTTTGATGTTCATCTGTTTTGCAGGGGCGTATTATTAACATCTCTTCCGTCGTTGGCTTGGCGGGAAATGTTGGCCAGGCTAATTATAGTGCAGCAAAGGCTGGGGTAAGGCGCTTAGCGAAAGTGGTCTCAGTTGGCTGGCAAGTTCCGAATGATCTCAGGAATGTTGATATTGAGCTTGTCGATTGCATGATTTGTTATTGTACATGTTGTTTCACAAAGTAAAATATCCAGTGAACACTGCGCAGTGTCCTCCATCGCTACTCTTCCCTTTTATTTTTCGTTTTTTTTTTGTTTTTTTTTTGTTTTTTTTTTTCGTGCATTTTCCTCCTGCGTCCACTACTACCTTAAGTGGGCACAGGCAACTTCGGTTGAGGCACACACTTACGCTCTCATTGCTCATGAATGGATGAGTAGTCGAGGATGAAGACTCTCATTTAGCAGACTGTAGATCGACAGTTATGTGCTATGGCTAGGGTTTGTTCTAGAGTGTTGTTTCAGCCATGTGATAGTATCAGGATGATGACAGGCAATGAGCATGCTGTAAGAAAGCCTCTCTCTCTCTCTCTCTCTCTCTCTCTCTCTCTCTCTCTCTCTCTCTCTCTCTCTCTCTCTCTCTCTCTCTCTCTCTCTCTCTGTGTGT